TCGGCTCTTGAGGACTTGGTGCCCCGAGAGGCTGTCAGGAGACTCAAGGGATCAAGTTGGCAGAAGCCAGAACTATAAATTTGACCTCTCTACTAGGTACTTAAGTAACAAATTATTATGATTAAAATGGAATTAAAAAAAACAAACTCTGCAACTTAGAGCTAGAAGGAGGCTATATAATCTTCCTTTACGCAGTATGTCTTAATGAACCTTCATTAAACTAGGGGGTGAATCATTGTTTTGGTTTGGGGTTTTTTTTTGCAGCTACGATTGTGGCTTCTAATGATTGTGAAACTATGATTATCGGAATAAAATTATTATTATTTCGCATTAATTTTCTCTCCAAATCTCTCATTTGGTCTTACACAATAAATTGCGCTCATCAAATAAGGAAAGATGATGAAAATACTGTGTGTGAACTGTCATCTCTTTTTCAACCCAAATTATTCTATTTATTTTCCATTTGAAATGTATTTAAAGTTTGAGGGTTTATAACAAAACAAACAAAACAAAGTTAAATCCATAATGCTTGTTAAGGTGATGAATAGCTACATTAAATGTCTGAGATTGCCATAATTGACCAAAATAGTAATTTATGATTTTTCCACTGTGAAGTATTCCCACTTAAACTTGTGTATTTTTTTTTCTTCTGTCGCATCTCCAAATCACTATAGAGCATCCCAGTTTTGCACTGAACTAGCTCACTGTCTCTCAGGAGGGCAGACAGCCCATTGACATCATGCTGAATTAGAACAGTTTGATAGAACCAGAGTCCATGTAGGTCGGTATAAATAGCCTTAGAGGAGGAAAGAGAAAGGAGGTATGAGTGTGTCTTTTGGCCTAGTTATGTGCATCTTTTTGACTGGAGGCTGATGCAGCATACACTCGCATGGAAAGATGACCCAGTCTGTTACAGCTGCTCGCATCATGTTGGATTACTTTAACTGAAAGCTGGTACCCCGTTTAACTGTTTATTTTAACTTCAGCTTTTGCTTTTTTTTGTGTGTCTTGAGTTAAGCTGTTGTGTGCTTAAGTACTGCACTCTATGGCCATACACTAAAAGGAAGGCAGTAATGTGGTCATGATGAAATAATTCACACCTCTTAGTGTTGTGAAGGTTTTTGAAGGGCGGGTGTTTGAAAGGCGGGTTCCTTTAAGCAGTTTGTGTCTGAAATTTGACTTTCAAAGTTTTAAAACTGAACAAGAAGATGAAAGAAGGTCTCTTACCTCATCCTGAAATGAGTGAATTTTTTGTTTTTCCATATGAAATTAATAATTCCCGAGCTTCCCAAGCTAGGCGAACACCTCAAGCATAATACACTCATTTGTCCTAAAACATATCACAAATCCCGGGAGTATAAACAGTTTTAGACATAGGATTGATAACCTTTAATATAAATTAATCAAAGAAATAGACTACAAGTTGGAATTGAATGAAAGTGGATAGTGGATGTTCATATTAAGCATGACCAGAGTTTCCAGTAATGAAGATGAATGCCAGTAATGACCATGAGCCTAAAGCTTAGCCCTCAGACTCAGTTTTAAACAATTTTTCCTTCTCTTGTCTCTGTATGATGTCATGGAGGGGATACCCCTAAATATGAGCACAAAGGTCTGACTGTGAGCACAGAAGCCCCACCCACCTGCTGTGCAACATTTTAAGATATGTAACCAATCAGAAGAAAATGTATTTAACGTGAGGGAGGAGCTAAAATGACTCATTTCAAATAGAACTGTGAATCATGCAAAACTACTTGAGTAGAGTCAGAAAAACGAAATTTGCAGACTGAAATTAAATGAAAGAGACACTTCGACCAGTGCCGATACTGATTTCATCCCTTCATCACACCATCTTTTAATATTTAGCCAGTGCAAATATGAGTGTGATACAGCAAACAAACATCTGACCTGTTATATGTAGTTTTCCCAGCTGGCCTGTAATTAAAGGCACCAGTAAAACAAATTGGTCTACACAGTAGATGCTGACTGCAAGGCAACCTTTGTGACTTGACGGGAAAGTCTAATGCAGTATGCAATTGTTCACATTTTTCTGACACTTATTGAACTGAATTGTGTTGCATTGTGTACAGCACTATGTGCCCACCCATAAAAATATTTCCAGCGATTCATGCTCCCTAATCTGCCTGTTGCAGGTCTGTTTTGCTCTTGTCTTTGATCTGAATTAAGTTGGTGGTTGAACTATTGAACAACCTCACTGACAGAGTGGATAAAAAGCACTTCACCCCAGAGCCTGCTGTTTGATGGAGCAACTGTGTACCAATGCTAATGGAAGTTTTTAAGTGCTGTATTTATGCTGCTCGAGGTCAAACAGACTAATGCCATGTTACTCTTCTGCCACCTCTAATTTCATGGAAGAGAAAATGTCTAAGAGGGAGTTTATGTGTGCATACATAGTGTAGATGGATTTGTGTCTTAAAGCTTTTGGTAGAAATGCAAAAAGTCCCAAGGACAGTGAGCATTGACTTGGAGGAAATGGCACTTATGCAGGCAGTGAGTGCAGCACAGAGTCAATATAGACTCCTGCATCATCATTTTTAGGAGCCTTTCAAAAAATTCTTTATAATTAAGGCGTTTTGTTTTGGGCTTTTTTATCATTATTTAACAATGTTTAGTTATTTGGCAAGACCTACTCGGGACAATTCTTTTGAGTTGGAAGTTCCTGGAATGCATTATGGTGGCATGGCTCGCATTCATGTGCAGGAGGTGCTCGGCAAATAGACACAGTTCACTGCAAAACGCATCTCTACTGAGGCAGCGACCAGCCTGCTGTTCAGATATTTCAATCCTCTGTTGCCCGGTTCCATACCTCCAAGACATCTTAAGAGCAGATTCAAGCAGATGGTCGCTGTGTGAGTCATTCTGTACACTTCCTAGCTCATAACTTCTATCAAGCGGCCATAGCATCACGGGGATCTACACGCTAAAAAAGCAGGCTTTAAGTAAGTCATGAATGCTCACAGCACTTCAGTTAGTTGTAGTTCATATTTTCACCTGCAGCTTTGCTGATCAAGTCAGCTTTAAATCCAGATGTTTGCTCGTATAATGACAGCTGTCAAAAACGGCTTATTGGTGAACCAGCGGCATCCATGACCCAGCATGTATAACAAACAGATGCCAGTTTCAGTTTCTGTAATATAACTACAGCTTTACTGTGGAGGAAGCCTGGGAGGAACTGCTGTGTGTCTGTTTTTGGTGAGCTTCACCACATCACCACACCTCGCAAATGCTGCAGTCAGTTTAGTGTTTTATTAGTTTTGAGATTAATAAATATCTAAATGTTGTACAAGGTTTCCTGCAGAAAGCACTCACACTGAATTTTTCTTTTCCCCCTCAAGTGTGCACTTTAAAGTTGTTTAAATAATGCAACAAACAGAATTAAACGCTGAATCATAAAATAGTCAAGTGACATAAGTGGAAGTTTTGCCCACTCATCACTTCCCAAATGAGACTCTGTGTCATGGCAAGGCATCAAAGACACATGAACTTTAACCTGGACAATTTCAGAATGATACAGGAATATAAAAACCTGGATAATAAAGCAGGATAGTAACAAAGCGAGCGTGCAAGTGTTGCTGACGGCATGAACACAAGCTGAATAAAAGTGACTGAATAAAGTTTGCTGAGCAAGCACTGCTGATACGCAGCGAACATGCTGACATACAGACCAAATGCTGTTCTTTCTTTTAATGTACATATTCAGAGAGCATCTTCTCTTCTTTGTGCAAAGGAGAGGAAATTGTTAAAACTAAAAAGTGAAAACAATGGACTAAGTGACGCAGTTTGAGCGTGAACATGAGTAGAGACCTGCAGAGATGTTGCGTAAAGCTTTAATATCCCTGAGGGGCCGTTTGCTTTATATACTCTAGTCCAACAGATTACAGAAATACAGTACAAGCTCCTGCTGTCAGAGGGAAAGGGCCACGATTGGTTTAAAGAAGCAGCATATGGAAGAAATTACTCTGTGTCTATTATTGGTGCCTTCAGGGAGCTCAAACCTTTGCCCTGATGGAAGCATCTGGAGAACAACATGTAAAGGATGCTGGGGGCCAAAACAATGATCTGTGCCTTTGATAAGATCCTCATTTCATCTCATACAGAGGCTGAAGTTTGCTAACGGTAGCGCAGGAATCTAGCTTGACAGTTTGCTCCCATTTTAAGACTGAGATGAATGTGCTTCTGTTATCTGCGGTGCAGAACGTCAGTGTTGTTGATGACAACACAGATTTGGCCAAGCTTGTTTGTATCCCCTGGTGAAGCTTTTTAATGAATGCAGACACGTGTATGTGAGTCCTGAGCTGAACTTTGTTGATAGCGTGCATGTGTGTGATCGTGCTTTCTTCTGAAACCAACTCTGTATTTAGTGTTTTCCTGTTACTCAGTCATGGTGACTGACATTGGGGAAATGCATTAGTGCAGCAGTATGAGCTGTTACAGTTACCCCGCCTAGAGGCTGCAGCCGTGTAGTGTCTACCACAAGTTAGAGGAAGGAAATGCTTACACACACGCACACTGTAACACACACACTTGCAGCACACACTCTGAGAGAGAGATCCTTTTAAGGGAAAGACCCTGCTCTCGCCTGAGTGCTGAGTGGAGCAGAGGCAAGTCTTTCAAATGTACGGGGGCCTAGGAGTCTCACTAGATTGTCTGCTTCTAAATAAAGTCTGTTCAGAGTTCAAATGATTCTTGATGTCCTGTGTTTGTTCACTGCTTTATTGACTGGTTTTTAGGGGCTGGTAGTGTCCCCCTGTGATATTAATCTTCAACTGTGTGACTGTTTTTATTTCTGTTTCCCAACAATGTGTCACAAAGTTCCCAAACTAACTCTGTCAAGGAACTGGAGCTCTGTTCACATTTGTGTTGACAATTTATAGATGTATAGATGTGTGTGAGTTGGACTAAGTCTGCTGCTATCTAACTTCTCCTTTTTTAATTTTCTCTCTCTGTGTTTTTATTCCCCCCCCCCTTTCCATCCTAAGGCCGAGGCCAGGCTGGCAGCAAAGAGGGCAGCCAGGGCAGAGGCCAGAGAGATCCGCATGAAGGAGCTGGAGCGACAACAGAAAGAGGTATACAAGTCAAAATACCCCATGACATGTGACACACGATATGGCATAATACAAAACTTCATGTTAGGACAGATATGCAAGATTTTACATCCGTAAGAGTTTAATATTTCATGCTGAATCTAAACAGCGGAGCACTGATAGAGTTAAACAAGTATTTCTGCTGTCTGCCAAATGGCTAACACTGTTCTGAAAAACAAAAGGATTTAAGCAGACTTGTTGTTACTAGACACTTGGTTTTGTTTGGACCGAAAGCATTTCCGGTCAGCTCTGCTTTCTGCTCTTAAGCTGACTCTTTGATCCTGTGGGTCAAAGGTCAGAGGAACTGTGACTGCAGCACTTAGGAGCACTGCTGTCGAGATCCAAGCAATCCTTGCCGTTCATAGAAAGAACATTCCTGTGGATTTGATTTGGATTGATGTAAAAATGTAGTTTAGACACTGACTTTTGATTGACTTTTTTAAAATTCCTTCATTAAAAAAACCTCCAACAGCTATAGATGATGTTGTTCAACACACTGAATTTATGAGTTGATTCGAACCATAGAACCATATAATTAAGATGGACGTAACAAGCAGGAAGTCACTCATTAATTTTTGGGCTCCCATTCTGTAGCCTCTAGCTGAGCATGTTAGCAATCTTGGCCTTTTGAAACCAGATAAGAGTGGGCTCTAAGGAGTCAACCCCTGCTGGACATGTTAAAGAATCCAGCTTTAAGGCTTTCGGAAAGGGAAATTACATCTATTATTTATGTACTAAAACAGTGCCCCCACCTATACGCAAACATGTTGTAACAAACTAATTCCTTAGTTACAAGGTTTCTAGGTTGGCTAAATATCCAACAGCTGATACTGAGGTTAAATAACCATAGCAAACGAGGAAGTCCTCCAAAGTTCTCACTAATTACTCTTTCAACAAAACCTTTTAAAGTTAATCTCATCCCACGCTGATACAGATATTGACACATGGAAAGTTTTTGAGTAACATAAAATTAGAGCTTTTTCTTCAGACACCACGGAGCACATTTCCTGTTAATTAACCGTCACATGTAAAGGGCTTCTTCCAAAACAATCACAACAGTAATTTGCATTATCTGTTATAAACTGTACACCTTTGAAAGGTCAGAAAGTCTAACCTGCAAAGTTGGTTGTTATTGCATTTCTATTTTTGTGGCTTTGTCTCTTTGGGTAGCTAAATACAGTACATAGTGTAACACTGACATAACTTATTCCAGATATTAGTAGTCCCGTAATGTGATGCACTACCTTCCTGGGAAGTAAGCAGTGAATTAAATCTTTGTTTTTTGTTTTTTTATTTAACATGTCCATTTTTACCAATGCGTTGTGGAAAACTTGTACATGTCTCGCAAAAAGAGCAAAGAACCCCATAAATCTCTGTACTGGACCCTCGGCAGCTCCAGTGTCGGTGCTGGCGTCCGTGCTGTGTTCTGAGTTGTGTTGAATCAGGTGCAGCGCTGAAAGGTGTTTGGATGTGAGCTCAGTGCTGTTACATGAGTTTTTCTTTCTTTGGTTGAGCACCTCTGATCTGAACCACGGGGAGTCTCGCTTTTCCGAGCTCACTATTATTAGTCAGTAGTAATCCTGAACACATAAACAGACTACAGACTGCCTAGCACCTGTGGAAACTCAACTCAAAAGTTGCTCAGTTTCTGTGTGAAGGGATTTTTTTATTTGTTTGTTTTAAAAAAGCAGAAGAATAAATGACAGTGAAATAATTGTCTGCTGTGGCAGACGTCAGTCACAGTTTCTGTACTGTTGAAGCATATTTCTGGAAATTCAGTCGATAAACTTTATTTCCTGTGCTGCTTGCGCACACGGACATGGAATCTCTGGGGGTGTTCTGGCTTTCTCGCACTCTGACGTTAGCAGACACCCCTTTGGATTCTGTGGGTTTCAGGCTGGAGCCACAGATGCTGCATCAGATTGAGATGTGGGGAGGTTGAAAGCTTCTTAGCTACTTTGCTACATCCCTCGAGCAGTTTTTGTGGGTGCATCGTACTGCAGAGGGAGGCTGCTGCCATCAACTCCTGCAGTCACTGAGTGCTGTGTTTGCTCCAAAACAATAAGTGCCTTCATAATTTCAAGTGACTGTCAACATTAAACTTTGTGTGACCAGAGTTCACTGTGATTTTAGTAGACAACATGCATGTGCTTTCGCAGCTTCAGCAACCACCACATTAAAAGTAAAATTCCATAAACCTTTTAGGCAAACAGACACAGAGCAAAATGAGTGCCAGTTTAGCTCACTGGTTGCGCAGGCACCCATACATGCCTTATGGCCTGGGTTACTGTGAAGCCCCCCCTTGTGCAACCCAAACACCTTTGACCCCTCAGAGTATAAACACAGAACCTCATAACCACAACGTTAGCAGCAGATACTTCAGTTTCATCCATGTCACAGATACTTGGATACCGATCAGCACCGTGGGCTTTTTGGTCACGGAACCATTCCTGGGCTGTGTTTTCAGTGTGGCTGAGGGTGTTATTACACTGTAGGAGACACTCAATGGCACAGACTGGTGGCCTCAGTAATGGTTAGGTGGGACAGCATCCATATTAATACCAGGTCACTGCATTATACTGAGACAGTCCGATGTATGTTATTCACAGAAATTAGTATTTTACATCAAACTGAACCTTTTATGGCTCGTCAATATGGAATGCCTATTTTTAAAAGATATTTTTAAGATTATTAGTAATTATAATATTAATTTATTGTTATTTCACCAATCAAAACACAGGTGTCAAGCCTGAACAATAATCTTATGCATGTACGCACACACACACACACACACATCGGTCACATATGCCAGATTAGTGGTCACTGGCAAGCTGAGTGTGTGTGTTTGTGTGTCCTTTAAACCTTTTAGCCGAGTTCTAAAGTAGCTTAGCAGGTTGTGCTCTGTGGTCCAGCCTGCAGTGGAGCAGTCGTTGTTGTTATTGTTGTTGTTGCCGTATCGTGGACACCAGCGATGGGTTGCTGTGCTCTCGGCCACCTTCTGGATTTTTGGATGTTTCCTCATACGCTGAAGACAGAAATTAGGAGTGGATTATTAGCAGAAGCTTTGCAGCATTAAAAGCGAGGGGAAATTCAAACCTTGGTTGCTCCGAGTGCTCTGAGCTCAAATCTCAGCGTTCTGTCATACCATCAGCCTGCCTTCATGACTGGTCATGGTGTTACCTGTTGACCCCTGAGGGATGCGACCTTTCCTGGTTTCCTGAGGGCAGCAGGACGGCCGGGCGGCGGCTTACCGGAGGGGGGCTGAGGGCTGCCCTCAACAGGCGCCCAAAAACCCCTCCAATTAAGAAGGTGCGCTCGGTGAGTCAAAGGGGACCGGTGCTGGCATGTAGGCTGATTGTGTAACTCGGTTGATGAATGGGATTATGACGGTGCCTGGCTCTCTTGCTAATAGGCTGTCCAGACACGTAATAAGAGATAAGTAAGCAAACGAGATCCCTCCAGTCACTTCCTAATCTGATTAGACTGGACACTGGTCATTTTTGTGCAATATTACGCTCTTTGGTGTTCAACTCTTTCATTTTTAGATACAAATCAAATTCTCTTTAACTAGATTGTAGTATTGTGATTGCTTTGATCTTGAAACAAGATCAAAGTTCACAAGGTCAGAAGCATCTGAGGTTCTAACAGAGGACGTTTCTGGCTGTGCAACGATATGAATTATAGCGATATTTATAAATAAATTTGACCTTTATAACTCACTTTCACCTTCTTGAAGTTTAGTATGACTTTCCTGAGTCGACAGCATATCTGTGAGGTTATCGTTGTGGGGACGTGGCTTTCCATTTCAGGTTAATTATAGATTAGGTGAGGGCAAGAGGCCGTTCTCCATTGATCAACTAAAAGTGCTGCTGCTACTACAGCGATGCAGCGGGCAGAGCGGTCATCTGCAAATCACTTTGTGATGACCAGAACTGCAAAAGTGGCCAATCCATTTATTGGGCAAGTATACAAGGGAGACAGTGGTAGTAAATCTGGATTAAAGCACTGGGGTAGAAAGTACGTCATTGAGGGTGGGGTGTGTTTTTAGTGTGTCCTGCTGTCAGCAGAGTTTTTGAAACAAACTCAAAAAGGCAGTGTGTAGGGTTGTTTTAAATTTAACAGGCAATGTGTTGGTCTCACTGGTGAAGGAACGTATGTGGGAGATTTTAGGAAATCTGATTGCAGTCTTTCCGTTTTGTCCCGGCACGTTAACATCAGCAAAACACTCAAAGAATGAAGGAAATTGGAGGCTGCAGAGATCTTTATTTTACTTTAAAAGTTTGCCAGCACAGAACATCTCGAATAACAACCACTACCAAAATAAATAAAGCCAAGGTTAATTGTATTTATCGGAATAGTCAAACAACCTTAATTTTCCGTAATTTCCTCAAACATTCCAAATTTCAGATGGCAACACCCCCAAGTGACGCAGCACATCGACCACAGGAAACACTAAGAGGGTCTCAGCCTGGCTGGTTTGATTTGATCTCTTTAGTCTGCTTTTGATAAAATAATAACAATAATAAAAAAGGTAACACTTATAGCAAAGGGTTAGGAGCACAGGTTCCTGGACCCCAAAGGGTTTTAGAGGTTTTTGTTTGTTTGTTTGGTTGTTTTTGGACATTTTGTACAAGCTGCTGATATATTTTCATTTTTCGTCACCCAAAATTACAATGACTGGGTCTCCACTGTACTGTGTGGTCTCAAGAGCTCTGCTGATGATGTCCAAGCAAATGTGCAAACAAACAATTTTGCACTAAGAAAGAATTAACAACCAAATATCTTTTAAAATCTGGAAGGTAATTTCAGGGGGATTGTTTTTTTGTTTTGTTTTTTTACATCAGCAGACTTTTTTTCAATAGACAAGCATCATCTTCATCATCATCTAAGGCAACCTTCAGCTTCCTGAGGGGAAAAACATCAAGTAGCTTGGAAAAGCAGTGAGCTTCAGCTGCAGCATTTTGGTGACAACATAAAACACACATACTCCTTGTTTTATCTGTGCATATTAAACAAGCAGAGTGTAACTGAAATGGTGACCTTTCACCTGGTTCACTGTTTCCCTTTTGTTTCTTCTCTTTATTCTGAGATGAGTCAAGATGCAGCTCAGGGCTGCATCTTTAATTTTACTACATATGCATTATGTCTACACAAGCATAACGTTTATTGTCCTAGGTGTCAAATCTACTTAACCTAACAGGACAGCTTGAGATGTTTTGTAGAGTTACCCAGGAGCTTATTTTTTATGTTTTTTTGTTTTGTTTTTTTTATTTGGAGAACCACCCTGTGGTTGTGGTTCTGGAAGCCCTCTGTACCAGGATCTCTCGAGGTCACGTGGTTTTCTCTGCTATGTAGTCGTGGTTACACAGACTAAGTGAAAGTGACATTGTGGCACTGGCACAGCTTTCCGTCACTGATACCAACGTTACAGGAGCATGGGAAAATGCTGTGAAAGTGCGTCTCACAGGTAGTTAAATCTCGGGTGAACTTGTGTTCTTGGGTCAGTTCCTGCTGTGCAGCGGGGTTCTTCACATACCTGAGCCTCGTGCTCTTTTTCCTGCATGCTGTTTTGCTTTTCACTTTCCAGTGTTTCAGTTTTTTTCCATCACTTATCTTTTTTATGTTGATTTAATTAAATCTTTCCTGTTTGTTTTTTTCGCTCTTTCTCCTCTGTCGCTGTTCGGTGTTGCTGCTTAGATCTTTCAGGTGCAGAAGGTAGGTTTACTCTTCCTCATTTCTACTTCGCACATTTTTGGATTTAATGTGATCGTCCTCGATGTGTGCTTCAGATCGCACCCTAGAAAACCTAGGAACAAGTTACCTGTTTTATCTTGCCCTCGTTTCTTGCCTCTCCCTAGAAATACTATGGCTTGAACACCAAATTAGATGACCGCGTGGACAACAAATGGGGAGATATTGAACAATGGATGGTAGAGTTACTGTGCTGTGATAACAACACTAACAGATCTGCATGTATTTTGACTTTTCCATGTGCCCAGTCTGTGTTTGAATTCTCAGTCATTCCTGTTGAGCCTTTAAAAAAAAAAAAAAAAAAAAGATTATAAGGAATCAAAGCTTGAACATTAATGATAATCCACTTATTAAAAAAGCAGGGTGACCATCTGGCTTTGAATCAGCATGACCATCTGCCCCGCTGATGCGAGACTGCATGGGATTTACTGCGTTGAATTCACTTACTCAGTATGACTGTGCAGATTATTTAAAGGGTTTGGCACAGCAATCATACTCTGTGTGTAGGAGTAACTGTTGACTAATTGTGATGTGTAATTTTAGGTGGTGATGAGAATTTATGCAACGGTTTATTGCCAGCAGTATCATAATGTTTCAGTTTGAACAGTGTTGGCATGTGGTGAAAATTGCATGAGTGTCAGCTGGATTACTGTTTGACAGCTGTGGATTTAAAGTGTGCATGGATGAGCCTCTGTGAGCTTCCTTTTACCCAGGTTGTGTCACTGTGTCAGTGGCCATGTTTACATGTGTCAAATTAGAGCTTCACTGTTTACATTGACCCTAACTGAGCTGATCTGATCCTAATGTGCGTTTGCATCATGTGTCAAGCATTTAAACAGAATAAATCATTTTGGAATTATCCAACTTTCTGGGAATAGTAGAAATAGTAGTTGTGATTGCTGTAAACAAACACCGCTCTCTGGAGGTCTCCTTTTTTATCGTCACCTTGCTGCATCGTATGGGTTTCAGTTTCTCCCTTCTCTCACATTTGTCACTTTTTGAATGCACCTACATTATGTTCACTAAATGGTAACAGACATGCGCAGTAAGGATAATTTCACTTTGAACATCGGAAGTAGGGGAGTTTCTGGCAAAGAATTTCTTAGGCGACTAAACAAGAAAAAGAAATTAGTCTAAAACTAAAAGACTCGAGATATCAAATTAAATTTGAGGATTGTTTAATGGTCAATGTCAAAAACTGTCTAAACAACGGCCATTGAAACTGTTAATTAATCTGTTCAATACTGAATCTTACTTTAAACTCTGCTTAATCGGGTGGCACCTTGCATTATGTGCATTATGAACATTGCATGTTATGCTCCACACAATGAAGAAGTTTAAAAAAAAAAAACCCACTTAAAATAATATTTTATGATATTAAATATGATGTCAAAATGTTTTACTAAAAAGTTGTTCATATATTACTAAAATATGACAAATTAATGTTTGAAAAAACTACTAAAGAATACATTGTGATTGAAAAGAATAATAATAATATTAACACAAATTCAGGTCCTATATTAACAGACTTACATTTTTCTACAACTATGTCAAGGCTGCAGCTCTATATAGTAGCAAATGGCTGTAGAAATGTAAACAATTAGCAATTAGCAACAATTACTGGACTAGTCGACTTATCGAGAACATTCCTGACTGGAAAAAGTTTAACATGCACACCTCTCTGATTAAGGATTGGTGTAACCTACCTGTATCTAGGTAGGTTAAGCTACAAAGGTGTGTGATTGGGTCAAAATCTTCCAGTTGGTGTGTTTAGGTGAAGCATTTCTATTCCAGTCAGGTTTTTTAACTGGTTACTTGTGTCCATGTAAACATGGCTGTTGTCTTGGTATAAAATATGCATCGTTTGCATTGTACCAATAGATTCAGGTAATAAAGATGATGGAGTTTGGATAGTGTTTAATCACATCTGAACCCAAATATTGCGATTTGTTTACTAGAATAAAGAGTTTTTTTTTAAATTACTTTTTTATTTATTTGGCATAATGTCTAAATTCCAGAGAAAAAACAAAAGGGAGGCACTATTCTGCGGTGCTGTTCAGCCCTGAGGAAGAACCACTTAAGCTGACCATCCCAATGCACATTTTTTCTTTGTAGACTCCAAATTGAGCCAATAAAAACATAAAGAAATCTGCTCAAATAATCAGCAATGGACTAACAGATATGTTCTAATCCACATCTTAACGCAGTTAAAAGGTGAAAACAGCAGTGCAGTTAAATCTAATTGATCACCTGGCAAATACAAATTGCATGACAGATTCCCTTTGCTTTAAATTAACTATCAGTTCTTCAGCAAGTACGCAAAATGTATTTATATAGCACTTTTCACAGATAAAAAATTTAGTGTGATTAAAAAATAAAATAAAACATAACAATGTAAAGCAACGCAATAAATGACTTTGATCTCTTTGTGGTGTTTAAATGTTTATCTGTCCTGGACTCTTCAAAACACATTTAAACGCTCAAATGACACTTTCCTCTTTTGTCGTCTGTCCTGTTGATGTTTGACATCTCTCTCCTACCTTTCTACCCCCTCCATCCCTTCTCTCCTCCATCATCACCCCTCCCCTCCCTTATTCAGGAAGACAGTGAGAGGTACTCACGTCCTTCACGGATTCACATGGTTTGTAGTCCTCTCTCTCGGTTTCCACCTCTTCATGCTTTAACTCTGTAATCTATTGTCTTTTACCATGAAAATGTCAGTGCCGGACGAACACAGCACAGAGTAACTAAATTAGAAGTTATATGTGGCTTTGTGTTGGTCGATCCAGCAGCATGTTTTCATGACACTTGAAACAGGCTCATACTTTAGGCAGCTCTCTGTTTTTATTCATCTGAGTAGAGCGCTGAAGGAAGCAGTGGTGAAGTTTAGATGAGGTTTGTTTCTGTCTTTAGGGTCACACCGAAAGCTGACTTGGAACCATGTGTGTTTGCAGCTCGAGGCCTCCTGTCAGAATCTCATGTTTGGAGTGTTTGCAGATGTAAGCCATTGCATTCTCCGAACCCTAACCATCCATTTCACTCTCTCGCCCTCTCACGCAGCTCTCAGACGACGATGAGCGGATGTCAGTGGGAAGCCGAGGCAGCGCCAGGGTCAGTATCACAAACAGCTCATGTAATTTTAAAAAACAAAAAAAACCAAAGCCTCCTTTATTCTTCTCCTATCAGTTATTCTCTTTGCATTTTCATTCACAAAAACCGACCCTCTCCTCTGGAGACAGAGTGTCAGTGCTGGATAACTTGGCAAGCTGGTGTTAGTGTGACATGATGATGTTGTGTATTTTTGCACAGTCGGATCTTGATGCAGTTGGAGCTTATGGTGGAGGGGTAAGAGCTGACAGTGTCTGAACACGAGATGGATGAATTTGAACTGCTTTTCCCAGAGATTTGTTGTGAATTGTTTGCTTTGACTAACAGTTGGTTTGCAAGTTCCTGCAGTAACTCAAATAATAGTAATACAAAGCATGTTTGTGTGCCAGACATTTAAGTTATAACACACAGATTAGGTCTTATTGTCTGTTCTCATTATCCATCTGCCTATTTCTTTACTTTATGATCAGATGTTTGAGTAAACCTGTGCACAATTTCACAAATGATGCATAAACCCTTTTAAAAAGATGTAACATCGAGGGCGTTGTAGGCCTCCTCTACGCCAAGCAGCTGGAGCTGAAGCTTGTTAAGCCTCTAAGCCTTGTAAAACTGCCAAAATATTTAAACTCCACGGCAATTCCCTGGAAGGCTTTTTAGCATTATCAATCACTAACCTCCCAAAGCAATTTCCAGAGTTGCTCATTGAGTTCTTGTTTGTGCTGTTGTAGAGGAACTTTGATTACCTTGGAATCTGTTGAGGAGCCATCCTTCTCCAACCAAAACAAACTCTGCACTATTTTAGGCTGTAGTGCAGCTTGTTCCTGTGCTTCGTAATTGTGGAAAAATTCTTCATACTAATCATTCTGCCGGACATGCAAGATCCCGGATATTTGGCTCAGTCATTTTATTGGCTGAATCAGTTTTTTATTGTGCCACTAATCGCTGTGTGTTCAGTGTGGAGAGTCATTTGTGCATGAACATTCAGTAGGCAGCTCGGTTTGCTTCTGCACTCTCAAACCTGTTGTCCAAACGGCTCTGTGTTATACTTCTCTGCTCTGCTTCTCTTCACTCTCAAGGGCTCCTCACATAAGAAGTCAAAGAAAAAGAAGAAACATAAGCACAAAGACAGAGATGTATGTAAAAGCTCAAACTGCTGCACACATGGCACAAACAGAGTTGGTATCTGTGTGTTTCATTCTGGTTCTTGATTCGCAGAGAAACGGCTGTGATGACGAATACAGCGTCATATCTGACAGGGTCAGTAGCTGTGTGTTAAACTGATTAAAGCATTCAAGCTGATGTGGGGGGGAAAAAGGTTTATGCAGCATCTGCTCACAACTTTCCTCTTTCTGTCAGAGCTCAAGACTCAGTGATGAAAGCAGAGTGTCTCGCTCCAGGCTAGACCTCACGGTGCGTGCTGTCCACCTCTGATCCATGCCGCCAAACAGCCTTACGCTGGAATAATATGAGAGATCTGCTTTTGCTTATGGCTTGATGAGCCAGCTACACCTGCCGCGTGTTAAAACTTGTTTGTTGACAAAAAATGCAGAGGCAGATTGAACTGATAACAATAGGTTGTAAAGCAGGATGTCACATGTTGCCACAAGGCAGGAAAGTATTTTAGTCATTTTAATGGTCTTTGCAAACTGCAAAAAGTCTTTGCAAACTGCAGTCAGAAAGAGAAAAACATTTAAATTTGTCTGATCTACGTGTGTGCTTCGGGACAATTTCCAGCGCTGTGGCAGGTTGTAGATTAGAAATTGTCCAAATTTAACCTCATTTACATGTGTTTGAGTGTTAAACTGACCTGACCCTCATGTCACTGCTGTGGGAGGACTGATCATGACCCAGAGGCATTGCAACAGGAGCACAACTGCAAGCATACCAGTGTTTTGTTCAGACCAGCACAGCTTTCACTCACAATCCACCCTTCACTTCAGATTTGGCTCTTCCCAGCTTGGTGAAAATCAACTTAAATGGGGTTGCTTTTTGGACATCCTCAAAAAATGAAAGCTTCATACAGGTGGTTAGAAAAGGGCTTACAGAAACAAAGCAGCTGTACTCAATGGAGAAGGTGAATTTTTTAGTAACACCTTGTAAATAGAATTACTTCTAATATTGCTTCTAATAACTTTATTCGTCTTTGAAAACTCCTTTGAAGATTACTGTTATTGGTCAACTATTACAGAAAGGTAGGCAGTAACAAGCCTAAGATAAAAACCTGAACTAAAACATGACAAACAGGGTGTAACATTTGTGAAACCAACACTGAAATTGTCATTTGGATGTCCCGTGTGGAGCTGCTGATCTTGAGCGTGTGTAAGCCGTGAAGATCGTTCGGATAGTGAATTAACTGGAAGAGCATTCAAATAATTAGTTATTTTTTGTTCACGATTGAATGATTAGACCAGTAACAATAAGATTTCCTTCCTCATTTTTTTTGTTATTCATCCCCCTGAAAAATAACAAAACACAAATTAGGAGCTCTTATGACTTTAATTAAAAAGCTGAAATATAAACACTATTATACTGTACTGTCTCATTTTTGTGTCTGTTTGGCCACATTTGTATGGGACATGTTAGCTTTCCTTTAAACATGACAGTTATTTGCTTTACTTTGAACACTGCATGCGTTGGTGATGATGTGAGTTCAGATTTTGCTGGACAGTGTTTGATGGTATCACCTGTGTCTCCCGCTTCTCAGAGCTCCAGACTGAGCGATGACAGCCGGCTGTCTCGTGTCTCCCGATCAGACCTGCAGCTGGTGCGTGGCTCTGCACGCCGTCCACTCGCTGTCCGAAGTTATGACTAATAACCAAAGTAGCCGCTGACGGTTTAGTCTGTTTATTTTAACTGAAATATTTGTGTAGTGTGTGTGGTCTAACAAGTTCTATTACTCGCTGGTGCATGGTTAGATGTTACTGAACTTGCTGATGTGGTGTTGAAGCCTGGGCAGCTGTCTGCCTTTGAATTTAAAAGAAGCTTCAAACACGACTGTGACATTTTTCCTGCAAAGAGTGGTTATACTGTGCAAAACTCTTGAGTCATCCTTCTTGTTTGTGTTTCATGTTTCTTGGAAAATAGTTGCAGGAATCTATAATCTAAAATTTATAAAGTAACAACGGCTTGTTTTACTTTCAACAAGCTTGAAAGTAAGTATTTGTTGTAACCACTTTTATTCTTCAACACAGCCTGAACTCTTCCCGTCCAGGTTTCCTCTAATTTCTTTGAATAGTCTACAGGAATAGTTCTCCAGGCTTCTTGAAGGGCATTCAAAGCTCTTCTTTGGATGTTTTAGCCGTTGTGTTCTGGTCTCTGTCAAGGTGATCCCTTACTGCTTCAATAATGTTCAGGTCTGGGCTCTCAGGAGACCAATCCATCACTGATAGTGCTCCACTATGTGTTTTTCTATTCAGCTATGCTTTTACTGCATTGGCAGTGTGTTTGCAATCATTGTTGTACTGAAAAATTAAGCTGTTACCAATCAGAGATTTTCCAGATAGTGTTATATGATGGATCGAAATCTGTTTCATGTTAAATTTGGATTCATCATTTGATTACAGATTTTCAGCCTTTTCTCACTGTTTCTCTTCATTAAGAAAGGCTTCTTGAGAGCCACTGAGACATTTTCTGATAAGGCTTCACTGAACATAATGTGTTTTTTGTGACAGGCTGCTAGGAGTGCCTAAATATACAATTTAAAATGGGCTCTTTGCTAAGTTGTCTGTTATATGTAGACACAACTGGTTCATCTGTTGAGTTAGGTGTCTTTTTAATGCTTGAATAATAATAGGTCAGTCATTAATGGCTTAACGAACAGGCACAAGGACTGGACTGAAAATGAAAGGAAAAAAGCAGCCAATAACTTCTGAAAAGAGAAGATTATCAGAAAACCTGAAGAACTTTAAAAATATAAGAATGCCTGGTTCTTCGAAAATATGAAGAAGGCTCAAGACTTTTGCACAGTACCGTAGTTTACAATGGTACCAAAGTGAAGTCAGGAAGGAATACCCTTAATTGTGTGTGTGTGTGTGTGTGTGTGTGTACTGCTGCACTCTTTTAAATACTGCTTCAACAAACAGCTGTGTGACCTTCTGAACCTCCTATCAGTTTTTCTCTCGTCTCCCTCTTATCTCTGCTCATCACTCTCGCTCTCCTCATTTCAGGCCTCTTACGCTTCTTCTGACTTGTACAGCCTCAATGGTCTGTCCTCTTCCAGAAACCCAGGCTCAGCTTTCAATGGTTACCAGGTCTGTATGCAGACAAAAGCCAGACCATCAGAAAGACACACGCACTTACCCCCCAAAAAAACAGTTTTCTGCTGCTTCATGATCGCGGGAGCAGGACAGCAGAGCTTAAAGTTAAATGTTTATTCATTTATTTCTCATGCAAGCATCATTGTTCCTTCCTTCTTCATCCCTTCTTGCAGTTCTACAGGTCACTCAGTCAGTACAGCCAGGAGCTTTATCGTAGGGTTGGTTCATTTCCAGCTCACCTTTTTCACCGCTACACCTCCCACTCACCTTCGACCTGCACTTCTCCACACCAGCATGTGCAACTGCATCTGAGTTTGTTGATCTCAAGAGCAAAATATTTCAGTTAAAGGCTTCCTCACAGAGCACAGGTTGAATCAGGCACTGAAGGCAGCGGTCACTTTTTTTTTTTTTTTTTTAATCCACTGAGCAAAATATAGAAATATAGAAACTTTACAGTCTGCTCACACTGCTGAGGTGTGACCCTGAGCTGACCCTGTGTGTGTGTGGGTGGGTGGGTGTGTGTGTGGGTGATGTCCAGAGCTCCTTATATGAAGACAGTCTGTGCAGTGGGTCGCGGCGAGTCATCAGCGCCAGCTGTCATGTAAGATGTTGCTGGAATTGTGGCATTATTTGGTGTGTGGTGTGTTCAGTTTGATGTGTGTTTAAATTAACTTGCATGTGCCAATATGGTCTGGATGGATGTTTCTAATGGTTACCTGAAAGGAGAGTGAATCCAGGTGAGCCAGTGGATGTAAATCATCTGCAATTGGGCAAATGATCTGCTTTTTAAAAGGATTCGTGTATATGGCATGGGTATCATCTTCTTGTTTATGGGCAGTAGTAATTAATAGGAAGTCACACACACAACATGCATTTATAGTTTTTTATAGAGCAGGGCATGCATGAATTAGCACAACTCAGATCTTAACAACAAACTGGACACAGACAAGAGTAGGAGGTACAAACAAGTGCAGTGAAGCAGCATTAACAACAAATTTTGATTTAGTTTTAGAGACTTTTACCTAAAACATCGTTTAGTTTAGTCATCATTTAGGATGTATGTTGTTTTTCTGCTGCATAAGAGATGTTGAATATGGTAAAGCCTGAATCCTGAAGTAACAAAGAAGGGTAGATGCATGTTATGTACTAAAGGCACCATGTGAGTGTGTGCATGGTAGTTGGTGACAGAAACATGACGACGTTTTCTCTCTGCAGCCTGTAGAGTACACTAGTTATCGCAGCTCCGGCTCCAGAACCTCCAGCAGGGCCGGGTCAGCCCGTACCAGCCCAGTGGTGAGCCTCTCCTCCTCAGACACGCCTCTCCTCATCCTGGAGTTTGAAAGGATTTAGGCTGCATGCCATGTGGACATAACATTAAATGACAAGATGCTTTCATTGACCCATCGTGCATTTAGACTGAAACATTTAGCTCACGATTCACTGTTTGGAGGATTTGTTCACTCAAAGTGTGTTCAGACAGACATAGAAATATTCACCCCTTACAATCCTTACTCCTCCCATTTCCATCAGCTCCACTCCGTGTGCGAGGTGGTGTACTTGCAGTCAAAGTGAGCAGGGAAAGTGGAAAATAGCTCAACCATAAATAAGAGCGGTTTGCAGTAATGACTCTCACAGGGAGCTAAAATCAGATTTTAAAAAAAATATTGTTTATTTAAAACATTTCATGTCATTTATCTTGGGCATGTTGATATTTTATTTTTGGCCGGTGTTTGCTGAAGTTTCTACCAGCTCTGCAGCACAGATGTGACCCACAGACCATTTTTGGGTGTCGATGGCATAAAGAAGATCCGGAGTCTGTGGCAAAATCTCATGGCACAGTGTCAGATGATTTTTCAGATATTTCTAACTCTCCTAGCACTTAAACTATGTTGAGTATTTGATCTGAATGCATCACAGTTAACACTGTCTGCAGATATCTCCAGCATGAAAACATACCAATGCTCCGTATTTAGATTATAAACAAAAAATCACTCCTGGTGAACTTGTGGAGCGTAACTGCTAAATACATGCCATCAAGTTTATCAGTAATGTGGAGATGAACTCCCTGCAGGTCACAAAGGATAATCCCTTTCATGCCTGAAGTGTGGGCTTGGTCCAGAGTGTGTGATCATCGGAGTGGTCGAGTGAGCTTTGGATCAGCTGCAGAGCAGTTCCTGACTGGGACCATCTGTCACCAGCTTGCAGCTGCACAGAGTACTTTAAGTGAAGCATTTTAGTGACAGAAACAGTCCCACAAATGTTCCTCTTTTAAATTAGTGCCATCTAACTTATCACACACATCTTTATGTAGCAATGTGCTGCAGAACGTGCAAACTTGTGTAATAACAAGTTTGGTTTTTTGCATTTTTGGACAGCACAGTGATGTCTGTGTTTTTTGTTATCGGCCCTTTTTTTCACACATCCAGGTTTTAGAAAATAGGAAATGAAAGTTAAATACACTGATGAATAACCTTTACAGCACTGATAGTGATTATCAGTGGTAATTTTAGCCCCTGCTGTACTTTTTCAATTAGTACTTTTAAAGTTTTCTGAAGTCTTAACATTCAATGAGTGTTTGGCTTCTTTGTTGTTGTGTTGTGCCCCCTGGTGGCTGTCGCAGGGCAATTGCAGCTCTGTTGCCAGTTTTTTGAGAAGCAGTAGCAGTGGTCTTCCCAGGGACCTGGACGATGTCACTATTCCCGACTTTCCTGACGTGAGTAGCTTTGCACCCGCAGGCCGAGGCTGTGATGTGAGCTGAGTTCCTGCCTGATTTCTTATATGCCGCCTGTTTTTTTTTTGTTTTTTTTTTTTCCCTTTTCCTTTTTAAACTAACTTTGTTTATTATTACTGCAAAGACGGCGGTTGCTGTTAACTGGGTTTGTGTGCGAAGTTAATCTGTGTTGAAACTGCAGTTCCTGCGTGTGCTGTTGTTTTTTTAACACAGATCTGCTGTTAGTTTGATATTTTGAGAGAGCTTTGACATCACTCTGATTAATCATTTGCACGCTGATACAGAGATGAATTTGTGCTTGTGAATAGATGGCAGATTCCGGTCCTTGGAGGTTTTTGTATGGTGTGTTGCTTTTTATCAGCAGATGTGAAGATAAATCAGTGCTACGGTAGCTGCAGTGACGATTGTGGGACTTCCTTCCTCCCTCAGTTCATCCTCTTGGCCCTGTGGTCTCTCATGTGCCTCTGATTCCTCTGACTGTGTTTATCTTTCTCAACAGGTGGAGGACAGAGATTATCTTGAGAAGGTGAGAAATGCACTTTTTTTTTTTGACAGTTATGGAGAAGACTGAATGCTATTGTTACAATATGTTTGGATGTATTTTATGTAACAAATTTCTTTTTCGTTGTGTCAGGGATCTCGAGCAGCTTCAGCCTTAACAGCAGCCACGCTCACCTCATTAGGAGGGTCGTCCTCCCGGAGAGGAAGCGGAGAAACGGCTTTAACTGTAGACGCCGAGAGCTCCATACGAGAGATCAAGGTACAGTCCTGTAGACAGAGAGGATTGTGTTAATAGCAGGGATGCTTCAAAACAGTAGCTGGACATGTCCCAGTTGGTTTTTTTTTATTGATCGCTATTGTTCAAAGATAGTTTGATTAAAAGCAGAAAGACTCATGTCAGAATGAATGGTTTTCCTAGCGCAAAAGGCGATGAAATTTTTAAAAACAACATAAAAAAAGCTTTTTTTGCAATAAGCCAAATTTTTAAGACAAAGTTTTTATGTAAACTGTTTATTTAAACAGCCTCTGAAAAACATAACTCAGTTACTCAGTCATAACAGCCGGGCTAGCTGTTTTGTCAGTTTGTGTCATGTTTTTACCGTTCTCGTTGTCTTTGTGAAGCTGTCCTCTCACGGTGTTAACTGTTCACCAAACTCTCTGCTTCACCTTCACTGCTACTGTCACGCTGTGCTTCTCTGCTCACCTCTGCTGCTGCTGCTGCTGCACTCTTTACCAGGAGATTCACGAACTGAAGGATCAGATTCAGGAAGTGGAAGCAAAGTACACTCAGAACCTAAAAGAAGTCAAGGTATAAACCTGAGAGCCTTTCATATTGTTAACTAACTGGTTTGCCTCCCCTGACTTGAACTGGTTATTGTGGTTTTCTTTTTGCTTTTATGGCACACTGGGTTGAAATCCTTTCCTCTGAGGCTTCTGCTAATACAGATTAATAACTTGTGGAGAGAGTGTTCAATTCTTCCTCAATAAGTAGGAGTGAAAGGACACTAATTAGCAGTCCTTTGATGTGGCTCAAATACGTTGCATGCTAACTGTGACATCTGCATGTGGTCTTTCTTTCTTTTGATGTGTGTGCATGCATGTGTGCTTAATTTCATTTTCACTTACAGAAAGTACATAATTCAGACTTTAATCTAAATTCATTAGTGCAGTTTTATTAACACAGTGCTGATTCATCAACCGCAATCTCATGGAGTGTTACATAGTAAAATAAAAATACTGTATATATAATGGTGCTAGCTGAACAGCACATGGCGACGGTGGTGAAGAAGAACCGGGTTCAGGGTGTGCCAGCCACCTGCTGTTACCGGTTGGAGGGTGATGAGCTAGCAACTGTGATAATCCTCTATCCTTTGTCAATGCATCAGGATGCACTAGCAGAAGTGGAGGAGAAGTATCGTAAGGCCATGGTGTCGAACGCTCAGCTGGACAATGAGAAAAACAACCTGATGTACCAGGTGGACACGCTCAAAGACTCACTCATGGAGCTGGAGGAGCTGCTAACTGAGTCACGCCGAGAGCACGAGGAGAAAGTCAAGGTACGACAGACTGTCTTTAAAACTGCCATTAATATAAAGTGAAGAAGCACAGTATGTCATTTTTTTTATGTTGGATCATAAAAAATTATTTATTCTGTACATTAGCGTGTCTTGGCTCATGTGACATCTCCTGTCAAAGCCAATAAATTCTGTTTAGCGTATCAGCTGGCCCCACAACTTCATAGCCATCTTTACTGAAGAGCTCTTTAGTCTGCAGAGAACTACAACATCACAAAATTAAGGATGTCATGGAACAGCTGAAAATCTAGAACCAAAGCCTGCCGCAGTTTGAATGTTTTAGTTTCCCCAAAGCAGACATGTCTGAAAATAGACACGCAGAGAATCACTGCAAAAAAAGTAGACTGCATATCCAAAAAATATCTACATAGCTTCCACGTCTGGAAAGTGAATCAGTGCAAATCCCAAGTACAGGCACAGGGGCAATGTTCCCTCTAATTTTTCATGTGTCTGAGCGAACGCACAAACTCCCTGAGCAGTCCCTTGGACCACTGTGAGCAACAGCAGACGTGTGCACTGTGGTCACGCCAGCATCGACTCCGTCCCAGTTACATGGCTTATTAAAATAATCAAATTACAGCATTTATATTTATGTTAGACTACTTTTAATTAACTGCTTTAGCCCACTTACAATGAAAATGAAAAAAAAATCTTGTTCATGACCTGTGTAGCATGTTAACACTATTGGAAGTAAAAATAACTTGAACTCCAATTTTGAAAACACAACTTTTTCTTTTTTTTTAATAAAGCTCTGACTTGTATAATGAGTATGAGTCTGTGGTCTGGGAGAGAGTCCTGTAACTCTCTGTCTGCAAAATACAGTATATAATGACCAATGTTGGGCAATTAATTATATAGTTACTTCTTCAAAAAAGTAACTGAGTTTTGCAAACAACAAAGTTTTTTGCAGCTGTTTACCTAAAAATGCTGCCAAGGCGTTTTTTTTAAACAAACATTTCAAAATATTTACAGAACAATCAGCTGTTCTGCATCAAATCTGATGCCACACAAATTATTTGTGCCACTCCAAAAAATAATTTCTGTCCGCTATGAGATAAAGGAGAACAAAAGCCTGATACCTGCAGGCCTGACAACAGGAGATGTATCACTCCTGTAACACCTGTAACATTCAGCAGTCGCCCTAAACAACTAAACGCCATGTTTTGATTGGTCGACATGGTACATTTTTCGACCAATAGGAAAGAGTGGGGTTTTTTGGTTTTGTTTTTGCTCACAAGCGGAGAGTGATTTTGAGCGTTTTCCTTATAAAATGCCGTTTTTACTGTTTCTTCCCGCAGTAAATATAAACAACAATAATATTCAGGAAGAAAACCAAACATTGCATATTTTTTATCATAACTCTGGTTTTACGTGGCCTATCAACACAATTTAAAAACTGGTATAAAGTCCACACTTTTTCCGTCAATTGTTCCGTCTGTCCTCCTCACATCTCCAAAGGTTGTACACGTTGTCATTAACGTGGCTTCACTCCTCATCAGCCGCTTTGCTAGCTAAAACACCGGTGTCGGCACATAAGGATGCTGTCATAGCCTGTCAACAACGTTGATTAACTGCGCTTCGACAGAACTATGGGATAAGGGGGCATCGTTCTAATCCCATACTGGAGCAGCCAGTCACTTACTGACTAACACTGCCAAACAGAATTGTTAACAATTTACTTTAATTTCAATTCAGGTTAGATTTTTTTTTTTTTGTGCACAGCGCAGATTTTTTTCTGCGCAGAGACCATGCCAGCAGTGCGCAATTGTGCACGCGCACAGCTTAGAGGGAACATTGCACAGGGGGACATCTTTTATCTAAAGTCTAAGTATCAAACAAGGCTCTGACATCCTAACTTCTAATAAGAAGCAGTACAAAGGTTTCTCCTGGACAACCCAGCATCTAACAAGCTTCATATAACCCTTAGGCACCGAGTGTTTTAAAGAGGTTTGAAACAGAAGTGATGCTGTACAGTCAGACAAGGAAATCATAACTGAGCTTCATTGCTTTTTATTACACCAAAGCAGAGCTGATAAGGTTGCATTAGGACATATGAGACATGTGTATTGTCAGCTCATTAAATCAGTATTGGTATCCAATAAAGGTGTTGAAATTCCCAAAAGCAGCTGTGCTGTAATGTTTTTGTGCCCTCTGTCAGTTATTTGGCTGTTAAACTAAATCTTGCTCCCTACAGGAATACGAGCGAGAGAAGTATGCCCACAGCGTGCTTCAGTTCCAGTTCAATGAAATGAAAGAGACGCTAAAGCAAAGTGAAGAGCTCCTAAACGTGAGTACCCCCCATCACCCACTCACTATGAGTGTGAAGCGTTTTGCAGATTTCCATATTTAAAAAAAAAAAAAAAGTCTGTCCTGTACCTATACTCTCTGTCACACAGAGAGGCTGCATGTTGGGGTGCTTTTCACAGCTTTTCCTTCTTTTCCCGCACAGTTGATACCTGCTCTGCTTTACTTTCATTCTTTTACACCTTTGCTTTCCTTTTCCTGCTGTTTAGGAGATCCGTCAGCTGCGTTTGAAACAGGAGGGTTTTGTTAGAGAAATAACTGATCTGCAGGAGACTGTGGAGTGGAAGGATAAAAAAATTGGGGTATGGCCAATGAGCCAGCAGTTTTTCATTTAATCATATTCAGCTTACTGACATGAAATCAGTATCTTCTTTGCATCACCCTGAATGCCTGTTTTTACTTGTTTTCACTTCTTGCACACTTTTAACTTTGTTTTGCACTCTGCAACACTTTTGGGTGGGTGGCTCTGCTCAGGCCTTAGAGCGACAGAAAGAATACACAGATGCAATCCGAATTGAGCGCGATGAGCTCAGAGAAGAAGCTGTGAAGCTGAAAGATATTCTGAAGGTACTCAGTGTGTGGAGAAAAAAAACCCACCGTAAGCTTTAGTTGTTTGGGAATTGCTGTTCTGGTGCTTTCCGATGCTAACAATTTATTCTACCTGTGCAGAAACATGGAATAGTGTTGGGACCTGATCTGAGCATCAATGGGGATGTTGACGTGGCAGAAGCTGATGAGTCCTCCAGTGTAGACCCTGCTTCCCAACCAGCTCAGGAGTCTCAGACGACCCCAGCAGAGGGGAACAGCATGCTCGGTAAAACCCACTGTGGAATTAAAAACTTCCTTTCTTCTTACTGCATGGCTCGGCGTACAACTGATGCAAGAGTCTCATTCCAAAACAGTAACGATGAAATAGAACATGTTTTTCTACTATTGGAGTTTCCTGACAAATTTTGGAGTGAACTCTTCAATTCCCAGCTTCATGCGTTATATATCACTTCGACTCTGATTTGCACTGATCTGTTAAGGATAAGCTTGGTGATCCTCTGTATTTTTCTGGTAAAAAGGAAAAACTAATTCACTAATCGAGCCTTCATCAGTTACTCACTGTCCAGAAGCGTTAGTCCTTAAAAAGACTAAAACCATTAACCATAAATATATAATTTTTTCTCTATAACATAAATTTCCATCGTTGTCCATGAACTATTTAAAACACGTTCATGTACCACACAGTTGTGGCAGAGTGCATGCTCCGTCTGTGGACGCTATAAAAGATGTGCACTGGTTTGACTGGAGCAAATATGAGAAATTTTATTTTAAGTTTAAGTTTGGCCTTTTTTTTTAATCTTTCACTAAAAAGAGGCATACTTCTTCAGGATACTGGAGTGCTAAGTCATCAGCTAACACTAGAAACTTAGCACAAAACATCACACAGAGGCTTGCTGTTTAGTGCTAAGTTGAATATTAGATGAAGTACTAGAATTTCAGTTATAAAAACTAGAGTACGAGCTTACTTCTTAGATGGATTTTAAGACTCAGCAAGCCATATGAGTTTTATTTTTAGTGACCTGAATTAGCTGAGGTAAGCCCTAGCAGCTACAGCCGCATGTGTCTGCGTCACCCTGTCGATGAGAGTGGCCACGCCCCTAATAATGCAAACTTTAAGCCTTAATCCAAGTTCACGTTAGTTAATTTAAGAAATTCAGCCTTCATTCAGTTGTTATAAAGGGATAAATTAGTACCAGTCTGTAAACACGTTTCTCTTCTTCTGCGAAGTTTTGCACATTATCGGCTAAAGCGAAGTCAGACTGTAGTGGGAGACAGGCTGACATATTACTGAGAAGCAACTAGAAACATAACGAGAATCACCTCTAAGCTTTTCCTTTAAAATATCATCCACTAACAGAGTTGCTTTTTCTGTATCATCTTCCATTACTAATGCTTGGCTTTCATGTAACTCTTGCACCTCAGTCACTTTCACCAGAAACATATAAGTGTTGAATCACGACTAACTTTGTTAATGCGGCTGGTGTTGGTGTGTAAATCCTGATGCATCCTACAGTGAGAGGGTTGAATGGACTTCTTCTTAAAAGTCAACATCTGGTGTGTGTAGCGAAAATTCAGTTGGAGTATTCCCTTCTTCTTTTCTCTTACTTACTCGGGATCAGCAGCCTTATTTTGATTTTCCTCCTGCCTTTCTTCTTCTTCTGCTTCTTTTTTTTTCTTGTGCTTCCTGGTCATCTTGGCGCTCTGCTTCTCTTTCTGGCCTTTGAATCAGCCAGGTGTTCTGCCTTACCTGGACTTCTGCTGATGCGCTTCCTGATGAAGTGTTGAAAGTCTTGTCTTAAGCCTACACTTTTTTGGCCTTCCATCACTGTATGCTCTTCATGATCTCCCAGGCAACACAGAGGAGACTGAGTTGAGAAGTAGCAGAGAAGAGGAAGAAGTGGGTCCAGAGCAGCAACAAGAAATGCACGAGAAAGCCAAAGAGAATCATATGAGCGCTGATCTTCTCTGTAATGCTGCTGATGTTTCCACACTGAAAACATCCAGTGAAGAACAGCCTCAAGAAGAACAAGAGACATGCTTACCTGCAGAGAAAAACAACATTGCAGAAAATGGTCTCAGTGAGGACTTAAATGCAGAAATCAGTGACTCTCCTGGTACAGAACCCAGTAGCTTTGAGCTGAAAGAGATTGTAACAAGTCCTGATGTTCCAGAAACAGAAATGTCTGAGGAGGTTAATTTAAAAGAGACGAGTAGTCTAAATGTAGTCGAGACAGATGCCAAAAGTGTTAGTGTTGACACCAGTGAGGTGCAAGACAGCAAACAGGAAGCTGTTGAGAAAAGTAGTTTGACAAGTACTGAATTATGTCCTCAACAAAAAGTTGCAGATGTTGCTCCAAAAGAAGATTTAACCGATGAATCCGTTCCAACTGCTTCCAACATTGAAGCTCAACCTGAGCCTGAAAATGCAGAAGAGGCAGAGAACGATGAGGCAGAGGAAACGCCCAGTAAATCTCAGCCTCAGGGTACTCCTGCTTCAGGGAAAAAGAAGAAAAAGAAGAAGAGAGGCAAAAAGAAAGGAGGGGCTCAAGACGACAAGACCAAACAGAAAAATGAAACGGCGAATGAAAAGAAAAAAGACAAAGAACCAGCAGGAAGTAATGATGGATCTGCTGCAGAACTTACTGTCGATGGCTCTGTCACTCAAACCTTTAAGGAATCAAAGATGGATCCAGTCAAGGAAGAGCAGGACAAGCAAGAAACTGAGGAAGTCAATGCAGTGGAGCCGATCGAATCCAGTAAATGTAAAGAACAAACTGTTTCAAATGAGTGTCATGAAGAAGAAACTTTGGAAACAAACACAGTAGAAGAAGCAGAAATGGTAGTACCTGCTCAGGCCATTTGTGAAGCCCAAAAAGAAGTAACAGTGGATCATGTTAAGGATGAACAGAACCAGGGACAAACTTTAGAAACAAAGGCCACAGATACAGTAGAGGCAGAGGAACCTACTCAAAGTTTGTCTCATGCAGAAATTCTCGTGGAAAGTGAAACAGACTCCAAAATTGATGATGAAGACACCAAACAAACTTTAGAAACCAACAAGATAGAAGAAATGGAAGAAGTATCACCTTCTGAAAACCCTTGTCAAACAGAAACGCTCAGCAAAGTAATAGTGGATGATGTTACAGAGGAACAGAATGAGGAACAAACTTTGGAAATAGAGACTGACAGGTCAGTAGAGACAGAAGAACCCACTGAAAGTTCTTCTCATTTGGAAGCCATCAAGGAATCAATAGAAACAGATTCCAAAGAGGGTGATCAAGAGGAGAAACCAACTTTGGAAGTAGAGACATTAGAAGAAGTGGAATCTGTGACCTGTATTGAAGACAGTGAAACTCCCAGTGAAACAATAGCAAATCACGTTACAGAAGAACAGAATGATGAAGAAACTTTGGAAACAGAGACTGTAGAATCAGTAGAGGCACTGAAAAGTGTTGAAACTCTTGAAGAATCCAGAACAGATTCTGAAAAAGATGAACAAGACCACAAGCAAACTTTTGAAACAGAGAAAGTACCGGAAATGGAAACGGCAGCAAATCCTGACACAGAGGCCAACATCTGTACAGCCGAACTCAACTCCAACAGTGCAGAAGGCACTGATGGCCTTGACAAAGAGTGTACGTCCAGTGTAGATGATCCTGAAAGGGTCAGTATCTCAACTGATGGTGATGCCATCCATACTGATCAAACAGAAGAGAAAGTAGAGTCTGCTGATGACAGGAAATCTGACAGCACGTCTAACAACACTGAAAACAGCCATGAAACGAGCAGCAACACTGAAGGAGAATCACACGTTGCAACCAATTGTGACGTTGCTGCCAATGACTCAGAGTCTGCTTCTGAGCGTAAAGACGACACATTCATCCTGCCACCGTCTGCTGATGACTCCCCTATTGGTTCATCTGACATGGAGCCATCCGAAGTTATAAACTCGGGTACAGATGACCCTCCCACTGACGTTACCAGCGAGGTTCCTGAGGAGTCCACTGATGGGGAGCCAAGAGCAGAGACTGAACAAGAATGTCCTCCTGCCATTGTCACATCTACACGTCAGGATGGTGATAATTCAGAAAACAAAAATCTGGAAGAACCCAAAGATTTAGTTAATCCAGATGAAAAAAGCAACAGTTGTGATGGTGCATCATCAACAGAAAGCCCTGAAGCCTTAAGCACTGAGACTGCAGTGCAGGACGAAGAACTAAAGGTCAATGCTGCTGTCGTGTTAGATACAGCAGAGGCTCCAAAAGAAGCTACTCAGACTGGTTCTTCAACTGATCTGGAATCTGCTGTCATGGAAGATCCCCAACATAAAAACGATCAACACGAGGAAGTGTCATGCTTGTCAACTGAGCAACCGCATGAATCCAACAAAGACCAATCTGAAAATAATAATCAGTTGGAGAGTGAAGGGGAAGAGGATGAGGAAGATGAAGGGCAGTCTTTTGATTTTGATGACATGGATATCGAAGCAGCTGAAGAATCGACTCGTTCCCAAAATCCAGAGCAGGAAGAAGTTGATGAGGGAGTTGAATTAACAGCAGATGAAACCAACGATGGGCTGTGCCAAAGTAATGCCGAGTCAAATGAAAACAAGCCAGCTGAAGGTAATGATGGAGGCAACCAGGCAGATAAAGACCCAGATATGGTGCCTGAAGAAGACCAGAACTCTGTGGCTCATGAGGAAGCTACCTCAGAAAAGGTGGAAAATGTGTGTGAAGAAGAGAAAAACACACATAAAGAAGAAGCCAGTGAAGAAGACCAGCCAGGCAAAGCTTCAGAGGAAGTCTCGAGCGCTGGAGCGCTGGGAGCTGTTGCAGAGAACATTAACCAGACCGTGTCTTCATCAGTAGAGGCAGGGATAGATGTGGTCAAGAATGCATTGCAGGGTGAAGATGCGGATTTACCAAATAGTGCAGACCAAGCGGGCAGCAATAAAGGGGCAGCACAGTCAGGGAAGGAGTCAAAGAAGAGTGGAAAGAAAGGCAAAGGAAAGGGCAAAGAGGAATGTAAAATGTCGTAGTCTACAGATGTGCTTAAAATGCCTTTACTATTATTTTACTGATGTTTAGAAAGCGGTTTAAACCTCGAAGCACTTTGATTCTTTCCAAATAAATATTGATGTAAGTTTGTATATTTTCTTAATCTCTTTTCATTGAGCTCATTTATGCAAACAAAACAATTTGTGGAAAGATGAAATTCTAAACTGTAAGGTAACTGTAGGTTTATACACATGGGCCATGATGCACTTGATATAACAGGTAACATTTCTTCAGATATTGATGCACATTTATTTTGCTGCTTGTACCATGTCACACATCTCTGATTATATTGCTCTCCAACGGTTCTGCTACAGCATCATTGCATCTCGGTGCAATTTCCGTCATCTACTTATGTCATGAGTCCACAACAAAAATAAATATTAATGGGTAATTGTTATTAAGACTTAAGCTAACAAGCTCGAATATGTTCTGTCCATGTCAGTGTTTAAATGAGTTTAAAGCCATTTTTGCTTTCACAAACTCTGCACAGAACATGTATGTTAATGTCCGTTTCTTTTTTTTTCTTTTTTTTGCACTAAATGGAAAACTTTGAAATGCTAATAAACACCCTGCTGTTACCTGTTTGAAATGTTGCTCTAAATAAATGTTTTTTAATGACATTATTTTTAATTAGATATGTTCATTCTTCACATTTACACCTAAATATCATTTTTCTAGCTCATTGTGTGTTGTCATGCAGTGTGACTATAGTCCAGGAAGCTGTGTGCTGTTGCACTGACCCCTCCTCTCCACAGTTTGTGCATGCTAACACCCCCCTCCCATCCCTCACACACCGCTCCATCACACCCTCATTGGATGCCTGCTCTGTTGCATGCATCAACCCCAGCCCCCTCCCTATCATCTCTCCGGGTCCTCCCACCCCTGGTATGTGATCTTATTTTCCTTTTTAAGATGGAACAAAGTCGTTGTAATTATTAAACAGTTGCAAATATGCTGCGATTCTTTTTTTATTTATTTATTTATTTTTATTTTACCTAAAATATGTGCTTTAATTTCAGAGATTCGCCTGAGGAAACTGGTGGATGAGCGTGAGAAAATGATAGAGCAGGTGAACAGGTTTATATTTTAAGTCTGTCTGGCACATCTGTATGAATCTTACTTCTCCAGTTGCACCAGCGCCTCCGGTGTCTTGTTTTAAATTCATCGTTTGTTTTGTACAGGTAAAGAAACTAAAAGCCCAGTTGGAACAGAAAACTCAGAAGAACGGCACAGACACCAGCCCAGACGCTGAAATTATTGAAAATGGAAACGATCCAAACATAATGGAATTACAGAGTAAGTCAAATAAATCAGAAACAGCCTGCTAGTTTTTAAGTTCGTGTCTGTGATTTAAAAAAAAAAAAAAAAAATTAATCTCTTTTTAAATTCCTTCTAGGGGACTCCAACAGGCAGATCAGCGAGTTGAAGTTCAAACTCGTGAAGGCAGAGCAGGAAGCGACGGCATTAGAACAAAATGTAAGCAGATAAAAATCATTAAATACACTGTGTGTGTTTTATTTTGAAATTTCAGCCACTGCTAATCAGCTAGCTCATTTCTCTCTCCCTGCATGCAGGGAAGGTCTGTGTTTAAAGGCCCCCAGTGTCAGATGGCTCTTTGTGATTCTTTGGTTCTCTGGTCAGACCCCAACTCCTTATTCTGCTCTCCATCTACATGTAGCATTGGATTAACAAATTCTCCACCTGTATGTGGGGTTCCTGATGGGGAGCTGAAGCTCACCATCTGCAGTTTAAAACTCACTGGAGAAGGAGCTGAACCAGTAAAACAATGAACTAACCAGTCTGACAAACACAAGATGAAATGAACTGGGGCTTCTGCTTAACACTAGCTGGATCTTGAAAGTAAAAGTTGAAAACATTTCAGACTTAATCTCTCAAACATATTTTAATTGGCTTTTCAAGTACAGAGTGTCAAAGCTTTTAAATTTTCAAAATAAAATGCTTGCTTTTAGCACCTTTAAAGACTTAAATGCTGAGCTTTAAATCATGGATTTTCTTTGTTGTGCAGGTGACCAGACTCGAGGGTCAGGTGACGCGCTACAAGTCTGCTGCCGAGAACGCTGAAAAAATTGAGGACGACCTGAAGGCCGAGAAACGGAAACTCCAGAGAGAGGTAGAGTATTGTTTTCTCACCCCAGAATTACAAGCTGGATAATCTAAGAGGCTCTAATTCAAAGATAATCTGTTCTCTTTCCTCCTGTTCAATCCAACAGCTGCGATCGGCACTGGACAAGATCGAGGAGCTCGAGTCCAACAACAGCCACCTTTCTAAAAGACTGGAGAAGATGAAGTCCAGCCGCGGCATGGCGCAGACTCCATAGCACCAACTGCAAGCAGCAGCTTCATCGTGATTTTAACCAAAAACTGGCTTAAAAATGGAATCATCCAGTTTTCTGGGTTTCTCTTTCAGCTGCCTAATAGCAACTTTAATAAAACACAAAAAAATCACAGTTATCCACAGAATAGAGAACACCAACAAGCCATGTGCCATTTCTTTGTTTTCTTTCCGATGAGTGTTTTTCGTAGCATCATGCACACACCCAGAAAGTACATGAAGGAACTGAGGGGTGCGCCCGTTCGTGTACTTTCATTGTGACTGTGGTTGAACCAGAACCGGGCCCACAAAATGTTGCGCTTCCTCCCCCAACTCTCTGCTGCTCTTCACCGAGACGTTTCTTCTCCTAAGTCAAACGGAGGGAAGAGACATTCAGGACGGTGCACGGCGCCGTTAGCGACGGCTCAGACTGTTACCTTCAGCTTCGTGTTGTTTTGTTTTTTTCTTTTTGCATCCAAAGCCAAACTAGTTTTAAAATTGGGTTAAAGTCTGGGTGTTTGTCAACTATGCAAGATGATTTTTGTAGCACCTCAAACATGATCTGATCATTCAGAACATTTTTGGAGTTTTTCACGTAGCCAGCAGTTTACTGAAAGTTTTTGCCCACAGCGTCTATCCGTCTCCTTCTGGGAAACAGTCGTATCTCGGAGCTTTTTCCTGCTTCACGTAGTCGGTCACTGGTTGGCTCTTGTGCACTCACGTAAAGGCTGAGACTTACTGACGAAATGTGACGACAGGGACTCACAAAGCGGTGTTAGCAGGAGATACAGAGCACACTGGGGAGATGCTGCTTCACTGTTTACAGAGCTTTAAACTGTTTGTAAGGAAGCAAAGAACTGTAACCTTCGTGCAATAAAAAATTTAAACTGAACCATTTGCTGTTTTTCTATTTAGATGTGCTTTTAATGCACTGGTAGCATGTTTGCGATCATCGTCATGCTGAAAAATGAAGCTGTTGTAAATCACAGGCTTGCCAGATGGTACTGAACGTCGCATCAAAATCTGACTGTACTTTTCCTTGTTAAGTCCATCAGTTTTGACATCTCCAACACCACTGACTGAAATTCAGCTTCACACCATAACAGAGTGTTTTATATTCCTTCAGAATGGCTTCTTACATCAACCTGTCCACTGAGAGCATTTCTGACCAGGCTTCAGTGGAAACTCTAGACTTTCAGCTGATGCATTTCTCACGCCCTGTGTCAGGTGTTTGCTGGAATTGTTTCTGTTTCTTAAAAACATGCTTTTCAGATACTGTTCATCTGCTACATATAAGTCTTTAGGCCTGCCACTTCTTTTGTCAAGTTTCATCAAATTTTTCTGTTAACCTGTTCTCTTTGGCATCTTTTCTGACAGGCTGCGAGTAAAAGAATACCTAAAGATAAAATACAACTTGCCGTTGGCACATTACCAGTTAATTTCTTTAGCTAGGTGCCTAGCATTAATTGTCCTAAATAACAAATAAGTCAAAAAATACTGGCCAACACTTGTTCTACCACTCAGCCTCATAGGAGATTAATACATCACCTTTTCCTAAAGTTATGATTTTCAGAAAAACCTTGAGGTTAAGGTCACTTAGATTCGAACTTGTCTGAGATTTTTAGTAGCTGCACCTATGGTGTCACTTTGAAGTTCGTACGTCATTTGGTTCTCACATTATCGCATTCGCAAACTTGGGTGTCTGCTCGTCTGCCCGGCAGGTTGACAACAATACCTCATCAGCCTTTTACAGCCAAAGGGTAATAATGGAAATGGTCAGGCAGTAGGACTGGACTGAAAATGAGTGAAAAAGCAGCCAAGCAAAACTCTTAGACAGACCTTTAGAGAGCTGGAGGACCATTGTTCACACCCACTTTAAAAATTTACAAGAAAGTCTGACTGCTTAGAAGCAAAATATAAGAGTCGGCTCAAGACTTTTGCACAGTATTTTATCTCTCTTCATGTATCACCACAAACATGGTCAAGCTGTCAATTGCCATTCAGAAGTGGCCACACCCCCTTTCCATTCAGTCTTTAAGCTTTATTAAAGGAATAAACAGGTGAGCTGCATCCATGTTTCCTCTGTGGACTGTCTCATTTTTCAGCTCCAATTTAAATTTTTTGTACACAACACACAGTCAAACTATCAACAGTCGACCTCCATGCTGAGCAAAGCAGTGCTGCTTTACTGGATACTTCACGTCTCAGAACTCATCCAGGTTTAGTAAATGGACTGCTGGGTAATGTAGAGTTCTGCTCCGCGTCTATTTTCCCATCGCAGTACGTCCTCTTCTGAATGCGCTGAATCATGCGCCGCCCGTAGAAGTCCCGATACTCTGCTGGCAGTTCATCCAGAGTGTGAAGCGCCCTCTCCAGGGCCTGAAGCGCTCGCGTTGCAGCCACGGGGTCTTTGTTACCGTACGGATCCTTCTTGTCGTAGCTGTCTGCAGGTAGATGGCGCCAGAAGATATTAACGCCCACTCCAAACTGCAGAGCGAGCGTGTTGTGAAACCACAGAGCTGTGGAAAACAGGGACGCTGGGTTCAGTCGTGTTTCATGTTTGGCTGTAGGAGGAATGAAGCACTCCACCTACCGGGGATGAAAAGCAGATCTCCGGGCTCCAGCACGCACTCGTATCTCTTTGCTCTCACAAACTTAGGAAACCGCTTCAGATCGGGGGCGTCAATGTCCAAAACCTCTGACTTATCGCCTAATGGGAAACAATGAGAAACACGCTGCTAACCAAGCTCATGCCTGTTGGTGGATAACTTTAACCTGCGTCTTCAAAAACCAACATTTAGCAACCTGAATGCT